AACATGAAATATTGGAAATCTTAACATAACTGCATATTCATGTTATAGAGTTTTTCCACCTCTTGACATAGTGTTGGCATTGTAAAAAGAGTAATGCTAGCTGTGAGTGTTTAACCGGAGAGATTTCTGCTTATTAGCAATATGCCATCTTCTGTCATCAGAGGATGATCATGTGGGTCTTGCAAACTCCCCAGATCTGTACACTTGTATTAAGTGGTTGTAGTCCTTACTAGTCACTTACATTTCAATGAGCATTGCAGGTGCTGGCTGCAAACAAGTGGCTGGTCTCACCAGTTATAATTAGGGCTAGGATTTTGTCATGGAGGTCTCGGAATCTGTGACTTCCAGAGATGTCCGTGACTTGAGCCTACGGTGTCTGGGAGCTGCAGGGTCCCCCCACCACAGGTGGTGGCTGGGAACTGTGGTGGCCCCAAGCTCCCAGCCACCGCAGGAGGTAGGGGTGCCCTGGAGCTCAGAGCCGCCGCAGGCGGCTGGTATGCCCCGCAGCTCCCAGCTGCTGTGGGTGGTGGGGGTTCCCCGGGAGATCCCAGTCCCCATGGGCAGAAGGGCCCCCGGGAGCTCCCAGCTGCCACAGGCGGCGGGAGTGCCTTGAAGCTCAGAGCCGCCACGGGCGGCCGGGGTGCCCCAGAGCTTGGAGCCACAGGCAGTGGGGAGACCCTGCGGCTCTGAGCTAGGGCCTTGGAGTGGTGTGGGGACTGCGGAGCTTCCCAGTTTGTCATGCATATTTTTAGTAAAAGTCGCCAACAGGTCACTGGCTTCCGTGAATTTTTCTTTATTGCCCATGACCTGTCAGTGACTTTTACTAAAAATATGCGTGACAAAACCTTATCCTTAATTATAATGTATTTCTTGAGATGTGCAGATAACTGACAAACAAATAATGCATATTATGAAAATAATCATTACATTATATAGATGTATTCTACAATGATCCAAATGTATGTCTCATTTTTTTTTAATTCAGCAACAGAAAGTATCATCTTTAATGTGCATACATTTACTCCTGGATTTTGCGCCAAAAAATTAAAAATTCGGCACCTAAAAAATAAAAATTCTGCGCACAATATTTTATAAAATTCTGCAAATTTTAATTGTCAAAATAACACTACATAATCACACCAGTTTCAGTTATTTTGGTAATTTATTTCAAAATACCTGTCAGCAAGTATGTCTGTAACAACACAGACACACACACAAATTCCCCAAGGAGTAGAGAGTTAAAGAAACCCCTATGACAACCCGGTCTCTGTTTCTCTGCCCCCTTCCCCTCCCCCAAGAGCCCAGCTTGGGGGTGGGAGGAGGGCAGACACCCACAATCCCTCCTCCCTTAAGAGCCCAGCCATGATCTTCCCTCCCCCCCCCAGCCAAAACACCCAAACCCCCTCTTCCCCTAGAGCCCAGACGCGGGACCCCCCTTGCCCAGATACCCACATCCCCTCCCCCCCAGAGCCCAGCTGTGGCCCCCCCCAGCCCAGACACCTGCCCCGCTTCCCCACCCAGAGCCCAGGGATCTAGAGGGAGAAACAGCCTGATGTTGGGTCCAGGGCTTGTGTGGAGTTTCCTGTGCACCGCCGTCTCCTTCCCTCAGGTCGTACTGGGAACTGTAGCTGCCATGAACCCTCTAGTTCCCTCTCCCTCCCTCTGGCAGTGTCTTCTAGGTGCAAGCTGGGCTCTGCTGGGTCCAGAGGCCCTTAGTGGCTGCCAGGAGAACTGCATCCCATTTCTGTGGGGGAAAGAAAATTCTGCATGCACAATGTTAATTTCTGCAAAATTCTGCATTGCGCAGTGGCGCAGAATTCCCCCAGAAGTAATACATCTTTATACAGCTCATTTCCATTTGTTTGTTTGCTCCCCATTCCTTACTTCCTGGTCCCAGAAATAAATAGATTTTTTTGTAGTTTATCACATTTAACTTTTTTACATTAAAAACATATATATGTATATATAGCATTCTCATTAGGTAAAGTTATAGTTGAATTTTTGTACTGTGAAGTTTTTCTGTGTGCACTGCTATCTTGAGATGCTCAGAACATACTCAGGCATTTTTCTCTTGGGCTGAAACTTTCCATGGTTAGTCTTCATTATGATTTCAGGTAATTTCTTCTCTAAATGTTTCTTCAAAAACAATCCAGCCATTATTGAGTTAGTAATGATTTGGAGAGAGGGTTTCCCTCCCCCAACTTAAAAAAAAAATCAGATGCCTTTCTGCAGAGATACTCCAACAGTGGCTGAAATCTAAAAATAAAACTTTCCATGTGGCTAGGCCTTGCTGAAGAAAAAAGAACACAAATGAAAAATGAATGTTGTCATTATTGTGCAGTACTCAGCTTATTAATGTTTTTTTATATTACTTAGATGTGAGGCATTATGATGGAATACATCCCTTTATTCACACCCTGCACATTATTGTAATAATCTTTATACAATATATGCCTTGTGAGATATCATTTGGAAAGTCATAACTTGCTGATCAGTAATATCATGGTAAAGTGCCTGTTTACAACATTATATGTAAAGTTATAAACATAAGCTGAAATCATGACTGAAGTGTGTTTTCCAGTTAAGTCTGGGGAATGTTTAAACGAGTTTCTCAAAGACAAAGGGCAAGCTGACGTATTTTTTGTAAGATTTTTCAGTTTATAATCATTTCACTCTTCTTCTTTCCCTCCAATATTAAAATCTAATTTTTATATGTGAAGCCAGTATGTAAGGTATGCTTGAGTTAAATGGGTTTATCCCTTTTAATAATATAAACCTGTCTCAGGCAAATCCAATCATCAACAGAGTTTTAAAAAAAATCTATGAATCTTGGTATCTTGTTTTTTTTATAGTTACCATGTACTGTAATACAACCTGCTTCAGGTAATTACCATATATTATAGCGGTTGCCATTAGTGACTGCTATAATTAAGGTTGCAAATCAGTTTCCATTATAATCCCTTGTTTTCACACAATCATAACTTGTCAAAACATTAACCTTTGGGACTGAAGTTTTCCATGCTTACTTTCAGCTTGAAGGTAGATATTTTCGGGGGCACAGTTTGAAATATCATGCAGGAAACTCATTTCCAGTCTTTTTGAGTTCTGAGGGCTGTTTAACTGGGTAGTGAAATGTGTGTCTGACTGTCATCTCCTCCAGAGACGATATGCCCTAAAAAAAGAGCATAGGCCCTGGAGCCCATACCTCTTTTTGTGTTCCCTTCCCACTTTGGCCTGGCCTCAACAATACTTTGCGCTTATACAGAAATTTATAAAGATTACTTGGGCCTGGCTACACTACCACTTATTTCAGCAAAATGTATGTTGCTCACTCAGGGGTGTGAAAAAACACACCTCTGAGCAACCTAAATTACACCGACAAAAGCGCTGATGTGTACAGCACTTTGTCGGTGGGAGAGCTTCTCCCGCTGACATGGCTACCGCTGCTCATTGGGGGTGGTTAAATTATGTTGATGGGAGAGCTCTCTCCTGTCCACATAAACGGGTTACATAATGAGCGATCTTACAGCTGCATCGGTACAGCTGTGCTGCTGTAAGCTCTCTAGTGTAGATATAGTCCCAGTCATTTTTCACAAGAGTCTCTCCCCATAAAGTAGTCCAAATTAAATTGTCTGTTTTACTGATGAGGAATGTGGGCTTTGTGTATTGAGAGTGTGGGGGACATAGTGGTCTAGTGACTTGATCATGGTCCTGTGCATCAGGCGACCTGGATTCTAATGCTGAATCTGACGCTGCCGTTCAGGTTGACTTTGGGCAAGACGCTTTACCAGACTGTTCCTCTGTTTCCCATTTGTAAAACTGGGATGATATTTACCTACTTTTTAGATCTCCATTGAGACTTAAACATCAAGCCAGGTCTGATGGCTACATACAATACTGTAAATTATTGTACAGTAGTTGCTGTTCAGTTTTGTCATTTACCTACATTTACCACACAGGGGTATCTAAGATTCTACAGTTTTTCCACATAGCGAGAATAGGAAGTTTCCCTTGTATTACAAGTCTTACTGTGGTCTTTCCTGCAACTGTGGGTAAACATTGACTTTTTAATGGTGGTCACTACAGGGAAGGTTGTATAATAAATTCCAGTTTGTATTATATTTTTTATGACTTGACAATCTGTTATGCTGTAAAGGGAGACCAGGCATAAGTCCAAAGAGGTGGGTAGGCAGGTAGAGTTAAGGATAAGCGATCAGCCTTAATGCTCATTTCTCTGCTTGATTCATGAGCCTTAACATTACATTAGCACTTGTTCTTTTGCATAAATTTCTTTTTAAGAAAAGGTGATTGGTTTTTCCACACAAGCTTCTGGGAGAATGTTTTAATTAGTTTCATGAGATATATGATAATAAACTGAAGTATACTTATTATGCAAAATTACAGTTTTTTGTTAAGTTTAGAAATAGTTCTCCACGATTTATTCTGTATGCAGACTGATATGACTATATAGATCCATGCTTTGCAACATGATGTAGACTGTAAAGGTATGAGTTATAAACCAGTTTTTTTCATAACTGTAAGAAAGCACAAATCCTACAAAGGGATCTGCTTCCAGGAGACCTGATGCCTGCACAGAAGCCATTGACTTCAGTGGGACTTCATGCAGATGTGAGGGTCCCCGCTTGTGGATTCTTTTCCAGGATTGTGGCCTCTGACCTGAAAATGTTACAATTCTCCAAAGTCCTAAGATTTTTCTGGCAAAATATGGTATTTACAAAATCAGTTGCCCTGCCCACAACTGCATTTCAAATGTAGAAATGCTATGGGCCTGTTCCATTGAATTTAACAGGCTTTGGATCAGGTGCTAGATCTCTGAGGTGTCCCAGGTGGATGAGAGGAAAAAAAGCCTTTATGCAAATCATTACAAACTAAAAAATTAATATATCATGTGTCTGAAATGATTTGACATTATTTCAAAGACTACTCGTTTTAAAGGAATTTCTGATCTCTGCCTCTCTCTCTTTCTTTGTCTCCTCCAGTGGCAGATGAAAGCCAGGTTAGTTCATTGGCTGGACACAAACAAGGTAAGAACTTTCTTGTACCTTATTTCACCTGCCCTTCCCTCAAAAAAGAGCCAATCTGTGAGCAACAGCTGGATCTCGCTTATAGCAACTGTGGTGGCTGAAAGGTTTGCAAATTAATGCATAACTTCACTTCCACAGTGATAAATTAAGGCTTACTTATTGCTTGGCAGTGTATGTAGTTCCATACATAGGCTGGGCTCATTTGCAGGAAAAGCAATAACGGTTTCTTTAAAAATATATCTATTGAACATTGAGCAGAGTGTGAGTTAAAATAATTAAAGGACAAAACCTGTAATCTTTTCATGTGCCAATGTAGGCACTTAAACAGTGTAAACTGTGAACAATATAAATGTCTTATTCTCTTTGTCCTCCTGGAAGAATTTCAGTTTTCCACTCTCTCAATCTGAAATATTGAAGATAGACAGCCCTACCGAAGCTTTCACTATTGTTTTTTTATTCCCATTTATTCATCTGCAGAAGTTGTTCTTTCAGTGTGACTATACTAACGAAAGGATCCACTTTTTCTTAAACTGCTTAAGATCTATATTTGTTATCAATGAAGGTTTATATACAGCAGTATTACCATAAAGTGTTGTAATAACAATTCTGTGAAACAAGTTGCAGTACTGTACAAGGTGCAGTTGCTTTATTACAGTAACAAGCCTTGTGGATAAGGAAGGAAGTGGTAGATGTGGTGTATCTTGACTTTAGTAAGGCTTTTGATATTGTCTCGCATGATCTTCTCATAAACAAGCTAGGGAAATGCAACCTAGATGGAGCTACTGTAAGGTGGGTTCATAACTGGTTGGAAAATCATTCCCAGAGTAGTTATCAGTGGTTCACAATCAAGCTGGAAGGGCGTATCAAGTGGGGCCCTGCAGGGATCAGTTTTGGGTCCAGTTCTCTTCAGTATCTTTATCAGTGATTTAGATAATGGCATAGAGAGTACACTTATAAAGTTTGTGGATGATACCAAACTGGGAGGGGTTGCAAGTGGTTTGGAGGATAGGATTAAAATTCAAAATGATCTGGACAAACTGGAGAAATAGTCTGAAGTAAATAGATGAAATTCAATAAGGACAAATGCAAAATACTCCATTTAGGAAGGAACAGTCAATTGCACACACAAAATGGGAAATGACTGCGTAGGAACGAGGACTGCGGAAAGGGATCTGGGGGGTTATAGTGAATCACAAGCTAAATATAAGTCTGTTGCAAAAAAAAAAAAAAAAAGCAAACATCATTCTGGGATGTATTAACAGGAACGTTGTAAGCAAGACACGAGAAGTAATTCTTCTGCTCTACTCTGCGCTGGTTAGGCCTCAACTAGAGTATTGTGTCCAGTTCTAGGCACCACATTTCAGGAAAGATGTGGACAAATTGGAGAAAGTCCAGAGAAGAGCAACAAAAATTATTAAAAGTCTAGAAAACATGACCTATGAGGGAAAATTGAAAAAATTGGGTTTGTTTAGTCTGGAGAAGAGAAGACTGAGAGGGGACATAACAGTTTTCAGGTACATAAAAGGTTGTTACAAGGAGGAGGGAGAAAAATTGTTCTTCTTTCTTAACCTCTGAGGATACGACAAGAAGCAATAGGCTTAAATTGCAGCAAGGGCGATTTAGGTTGAAGATTAGGAAAAACTTCCTAACTGTCAGAGTGATTAAGCACTGGAATAAATTGCCTACGGAGGTTGTGGAATCTCCATCATTGGGGATTTTTAAGAGCAGGTTAGACATACACCTGTCAGGGGTGGTCTAGATAATACTCAGTCCTGCCATGAGTGCAGGAGACTGGACTAGAAGACCTCTTGCGATCCCTTCCAGTCCTACGATTCTATGATTAATTTTCAAGTATGCATCCCAAAGGATTGTTACTTTTAGGGTAACCATTAAACAATGATGCAAAAACTCATGTGACTTAGGAGACATGGAAACAGGGTTTCTAGAAATTTCAGGTTATCCACTGATGAACTTTTACCTATAATAGATAACCACGAAATTCAGTGCTGTTCCTTATTACATGTTTTAATGCTATATTTTTACATCAGTTTGTAAGATCTGAAACAAGTTCACCTTTCTATTTCATTCGACAAGGTTTAATTTTTTCATAAGTCTGTTGTTTTCCTAGTACAAGTGTATATCTAATCATTTTTGACCATTTGAGCAGTGGTTCTAGTTTTAAAAAAAAAAAAAAAAAAAAAAAACAGAATTTCTTTAGTGTCAATAAAATTCTTTCAACGTCTAACCCTGAGAAAAGTAGCAAATGAAAATTCAAGGCTCTCGGGGGAAATGTTTTTATGAAATGTCCATCACAGACCAGCATTTGCTCTACTTATTAGGTACAGTGACAGTCCCTATGAAGTCATGAGCCTGGTTTGTCACTTATTGTCTTTCTCTGATCTGGCACAAGAAATGCCTGTGCCTGTGTTCCAGATCTTCTCACATGTGTGGACAGCTCCAGCTTTGCTTTCTAATAGTTGTTTTCTTTGTTTAGCTCTTCTGTTTTTCTCATGACATGCCTTTCTCTGCATGGAACATCCACTGATTTCCTGATTCAGTTCTCAAAGAGTTACTGTACAGATTTCCTTACAGCCACTTTTGTTTCAAAAACCTGGATTTAAAGACCAGTCAATAACGAGATTTCTTCATATTTATGGTGTACCTGGCTTATACAGCCTTACATGTCTGCTGTAGCTTTGTTGTTATACAGCTCTCTGATTTAGGCATTCCATACTTGAAGACCATTTCCTTAACTTAGGGAAAGCGCCCTTTAAATTCTTCCTCTGGCTTCCCCCTCTCGTCTGTGTCCCTCAAATATTCTCTCTGAAACTGGAGGATCAGCTCATATGTCCTGTTCCTACAGCTGAGGAGGAACGTTTTGTTTCAGCTGCCTCTCCTTTGGGTATGAAAAAGCTTCTAAAAATGACTCATCAGAGAGAAAGGTCTTTGGGTGTGCCCCTTTTCTCCAGTCAGGAGAAGGTTCACAAATATTCCAACATCGTTCAATTTGCCAAGGATAAATAGAGGGTCTTCCGATCAACCAACACTGGAACAGAGCCTGTTGAGATCATAAATTGTTGGCAGTCAGTTGCTAAAAGGTGCTAATAACCTAGAATACCAGGTTCTTAAGCAGCACTTCCAATTTTCTTTACACACTCTTCTCCAGATTCTCTATAGATGACCTAATGAAAGTCTTTTATTGTTTGGGGGTATTTTTAGACATTTTGGCCAATTTTAGGGAGACAAGAGCAACTGCTATCCTTTGGATTTGTCTGACCTCAACCTGGAAAGCAACTCTGTCAGCAGAGGATTGAAAAGCACTTTTTCCCATGGATACCAGCATCTAGTATTGCCTAAACCACTTTTCAAAAAACCAAATCAACCAAACAAAAAGCAACAGACTCCCCCTTCCAGCTTCTTAAGCACCTTCCTGCATTGGCCCCTGCAAATAGTCATATTTAAAATTTGCTCAAGAGCATGGAGTTATTTTCCTACTGTTCCTGTTTGCCTGACATATTCTGTCACTTTAGACTATTGGATCTTAAAGGTTGAAAGACCAGGGCTATCCTTTCCTGTTTCATCTTCCATCACATACCCTTCCTAGGTTTCCCATTTGTGCTGCAGGAAGCAAAACAGCCTATTATTTTCTCATTGCAAAAAGGAGAGATTCCACCTCATCCTAGACTTCAGGAAATTAAACATATTTCTCTAGTGAATTAATTATCACATACTGACAATCAATGCAATTATCCCTTCTCTCCTTCAGCATGACTAGTTCTATGAGATGTGTGGTTCAATAACTCTCGAAGGAAAAATCCTTCTGGTATGTAGTGGATGGAAAACGCTTCCATCCTTTAGTCTCACCCTTTGATCTAGTTACAGTTTGGAGGGTATTTACTAGTTACTGGGCAGAGGTGATAGCACATTTTGGTCTACCTCTGCCTAGGCAAATGTTTTTTCAGAGCTATGTCTCAACGCAAGGCATTAGAAGCATGTGTAGCTATAGCCTCCTATTTCTATTTCCTGGTATATTTCACCCACAAAAAGTAGTCTTTTTTTATTCTCTAATGAAAATACGTGCTTTTAGAAACATCCCTGGATTTCCCCAGGACTGAAGCATTCCTATTGGAAGATGTGTCCCTGCAGGTACCTCTATTTCACTCACATGCACCACAAACAACAAGAGTATGACTATACGTTCAGGTTATTGTGACATTAGGCACCTTGATTGTGCGCGTGGCCTGTCTGAGAATGAGGCTACTGCAAAACCTATTTTAAGTTCTTAGAACTGCAGATGTTTTCAGCAGAAACTTCTGCTCATTGCAGTGGAAAGAGAAGAATCCCTGAATTAGTGTGTTGACATGTCCCATTTAGCCTGCCCTGGAAAGAACCTGGAACCTCAAAATTCCTTCAGGAAGGCAGGAGTGTTTTCTTATCTCCACCTCCCCTTGCGTTTAGCATAGTAAACTTTTTCATTCCCTAAATCTCAGTGATAACAAAGTTGAGAGGGAGAGAGAGACAAAAAGTGCCTCTTTAAAAATGTGAATGACCCAAAAATATCCAAGAGGTCAAAATCCAGAGAATATTAGTTCAGTTTTGTATGAGCTCTTCCTTAAACTTGTCTTTCATTTTCCTTCACTAGAAGAACAATAACAGGAGGAGGAGGAAGATATTATTTACAAGATCCTTGTGATGTAGAAAAAATACTGCCATTTCTTGATTTTATAAAAAGACCCAAATCATGTACTGGTAGCTTACAGCTATTTGTGTTTTATTTTCCTTTTTTTTCCCCCACTTTCCTTTTCTATTTTGATTTACTGCTTGAAATTCTTTTAATATATATTGACTGTCTGCTGAGGTCCTTGCTGACACAGCTCTTTAAGATGATGCAGTACTGGAGAAAAGCTGATGAGTTCTTCTTTATGAGCTTTGACATATTAATTAGTAAAATGGGCTAAAAAAGCTTTCCTATATCTGTTTTAATGTCTCATTTTCCAAAA